TGCACAGCGGGGGGCAGTGGGTGGCGCCGTGGCGGGGGCCAGCCCAAGCTCTGCGCCTACAACGGTGCAACCTCTGGCTTAGGCCCCAGGGCCCCCGAAGACTCTGGTGGGGTTGTGGGGAAATCGTCACACTGTGGGTGTGATGATGTATCGCACGGGAGGTGGGACAGTGTGGACTGAAAGAGCATGAGGTCCAGAGTGTGAGAGAGTGGGCCCACCGCATGCTCGCTCATCTGTCCGCTGGGGTGGCCACGACGCCTGCCTCAGGTGTGATTGTTGGAAGGACTTTAGTGAGGACCTCAGCTGTAAGTGACAGAAGACCAACTCAAGCCAACTTGAGCAAAGGGAGCTCATCTGCAGCTGGTTTCCAGCGCTGGGACGGATGCTGAAGGGCCCCAGGAGGGAAGAAAGGGAGGCCAGAGTGAGGATTGAGGCACTGGCACGGGGACTCGACGCTCAGTCCTGTGTTCCCCACCCGCCATCTCCCCATGCCTCTGCTGGTCTTCGGGCCACAGCAGGTTCCTCTGGGGAGGGGTGGGGGCAGGGAACACAGGCTCCAGGGACCCGTCTCCCAGCACGTGGACCCTGGCAGGGACACGGCTGCTGCCCCTGGCTGCAGACAGCATTTCCAGGGAATGATCTGATGGGCCCTGCCTGGGTCACACGCCCAGGCCGTGGACCAATCATGGTTGCCAAAAGAATGGGATTCTGTGTAAGCCTGGGTCCCAAAAAAACGGAGAACGACGACAAAACAAGATGAAACCACCACGGTGGCTGCGGGATTCAGTGAGTGAAGGTTATGTGACACCCTGGAAGAGCCCCTGGCACATAGGGACCCTCAGCATGGACAGCTGCTGTCTGGGTGGAGAACAGGCCACTGACATTCCCTGCCCCCAGCCACCACTGCCACCACTCACTGGCACTGAGCCGTCCTAAAAAACGCTTTCAAACATTATGCATGTTTTTCAAACCCAGTTTTTGGTTTTGTTTTTTTTTTGAGGAAGATTAGCCCTGAGCTAACTGCTGCCAATCCTCCTCTTTTTGCTGAGGAAGACTGGCCCTGAGCTAACATCCGTGCCCATCTTCCTCCACTTTATACGTGGGACGCCTACCACAGTATGGTTTTTGTCAAGTGGTGCCATGTCCACACCCGGGATCCGAACTGGCGAACCCCGGGCCGCCGAGAAACAGAATGTGTGCACTTAACTGCTGCGCCACCGGGCCGGCACTCAAACCCGGTTTTTGAGAAACGGCATCTGGACCGAAATGCATTTGCTTTGCACTGAGGATGCTCTGGTTCCGTAAGTGGAGCTCAGACTGGCCGTCTACAAAGCACAAAGCGGGGCTCCTGGGATACAGACGGCCTGGCCGGCAGGAGGGCGGGTAAGCCGGTGGCGGGCGGGCTCCCCACTCCCCCGTCCGGGGCCTGGCCCAGACAGACTCTGATGTGCGAGCTGCTGCCTTGGGACACTGGCTTTGTTTCTCTTGAAAGGAAAATCTCCAGTTTTGAAAACTCCCTTTAGAGAAAGCGTTCTCCAGGTTTCCACCCCTGAGGGAAAAGCAGTGGAATCGGGAAGCAGCTGCAACTTATGGTGTCACGGAGGGGACGAGACTGGGTCGTGGCGGGGACTTTCCTACTCGGACTCCCAAGAGGCCCTCCCTATGCCCCCCACCACGTGACCGCGGGGCCTGCACTGAGCGCCGGGCTGTCGCGGGCTGTTGAGATCAATAGCGCATCAAACACGCCCTCTGCTGCCCTCCCGGACCTTCCGTCCTCCTCAGGCGAGGCCCGTGGAAAACGAGGTGGAGAAGCAGGAATAACGTGCAGCGGGTGGACGGGGGAGGGACGGGCAGGGTGGGGGGAGGGTGAGCACAGGCAGCCGAGCAGAGCCTAGAAGATGGAGGTCTAGTGAGTAAACAGACGAACCCGCCTCACGGGCTGCTCCGAGCACGCACGGAGACCAGGAAGTGACGGCCTGGCATGCAGGAGGGGTTTGATCCAGCCCTTGGGAGGTCAGGGGAGGTGGGGTCCCCCAACAGCCAGAGTAAGTGGAGGGTCGTGGAAGACCCTGGGCAGAGCTGTTGCTGGCGTCCCCAAACATCTTTACTCCTCCGTCTGCCAGAGGAAAATTTTTAGCGGAAGTGGATCATGAGAAATAAAGACTACATTTCCTAGAGTCCTCTGCAGCTAGGTGTGGCCTTGAACTAAGTTTTCATCAATAGGATATACGCTGATATGTTAGCTGGCACCCTGGGAACCTCCTTAAGAGAATGCTGCTGAGTGGCCTTTCCTTTCCCCCAACTCCTCTGGCCTGCTGTTTGGGATGTTGCTGTGATGTCAGGAGCTCCATCCTCACTGTGAGGGCAAGGGCTGGGCCCTGGGGAAGGCAGAGCAGTGAGTGGGAAGGAGCCTGGGCCCCTGAGGACCTGGGACCACCAAGCCACCATGAGAGCCATGGAGTGCCTGCCCCTGGACCTTTGCCTATGGGGGAAATAAACTTCTCTGGTTTAAGCTACTATCGTTTTGATTCTCTGATCCAGGAGGGCTCGGGAACAAGAGCAGCGGCAGGTGCATCTCTGCTCCCATGGCCATCCTGTGTGGGCCCTGACTCAGCATCCGTGTTTCCTGACAGCTGCCCCAGACTACCAGTGGCAGGAGAAGGGGCAGTGGATCGGCAGGTTGTTAAGCACCCCGGCTTCAGCCAGAGCTGCCGGGAGCCCCTCTGCCCTCCGGCACTGCTCACAAGAAGGTGCCCCACACCCCGTGTCCATCACGGCACCCACCTCCTGCGTGCCCTCACTGATCGCAGCCGCTGTGGCGGATGCTGCTCACCATCTGGGGAATGTGCGACAGAGCCACGTGCTTTTCACAGTAACGTAAGCATCATTAGCCTCATGATACAGGGGAAGAGACCAAGATTCAGAGAGGCCCACTTCTCTCTGCTCACCAAGGTCCCATTGAGTCACAGCTGTCACCTCAAGATGCCTCTGGCTCCAGTTCTGGGTTTGCGATCAATCCAAGGACAGAGTCGAGGGGAGACAGAGAGTGGAGGCACCCAGCTTCCTAACAGGGACGAGAGAAAGGAACTCAGGTGGCGGAGGCAAAGCTTCCTCCATTATCCCATTTACATTTTCCAGTATTTCTGTAACAAGCATCCATCATTTTTATAATGAGGAACTGTCTCTCCCGCCAATCCTCACCTCCTGCTTTTCACAGTTCTGACTTTTTTCTGGCTGATGACTGATTCGACCAACACACAGGAGAGTTCAAATCACAGTGGGCTTGTGATGAACAATTTCATCGGCCTTGGATTCCAATTCTCTCTCATGCCCATGGGGTTTTTAAGAAGTTCTGCTCGGGATTCCAGGAGTTCACTGCCTCCTCTCACCTCCTCTGTCCTTTGGGCAGGTCAAGGCCACCCTCATGCCCACCTCTGCGGGGAGAGAGGGCCATGCCCACGGCGGGCACCTGAGCTACTCCTGAGTCCACTGGTTCCAGACAGCTATAGCCATCCTCCAGATGTCCTTGGGGAAATGGCCGTCCACTAATGTTGCGTTCGCTTCTTCCCCATACAACTGATGTGGCTCTTTTTGCAGAAAGTTATTTCAACTCAGATGTCTGTGGCCCCTTCTGGTGGCATTTTCTTACCAAGAATACCTTTCCGCTTTGGGGCCGGAGGGCTAGGGAGGATGGCGGCAAAATTTGCTGCTGGGTCGTCAGGTCCCTCTTCCAGGTACGCCTCTTACCTGGGAACCCCAGTTTCCTCCGGGCGGGGGGCTCAGGGGTGTCTCCTGCTGCACTGAAACAAACTAACGAAAGGGGCTGCGAATGAGCCACGATGGTGAGAACGGCAACAAGGTTATGATGAATCCGTTCAGTCCTGATATCCCAAATAAAGATAAAAGAAAATGGAGAGAATGGAGGTAACACCTGCTCTCGGGGTTCTTAAGTGGCTTAGTGATTAGACTGGGTTCTCCCCTCCGGGTCCACGAGGCCACAATCGAGGTGCTGGCCGGGCTGGGCCCCTATCTGGGGGCTCCTTCAGGTTGCTAGTGGAGTCCAGCTCCTTGCAAGAGCAGGTCCTCGGTCCTCAGTCCATGCTGGTGGTCAGCTGGGGGCCACTCTCCGCCTCTAGAGGCCGCTGCGCGCCTTCTCACACGACCCCTCATCGTCACACCAGCAGTGGTGACCCGAGTCTTTCTCCTGCTTTGAAGCTGACTTTTCCTGCTGGAGGGAACTCGCTGCTTTGAAAGGGCTCACCAAGGTCAAGCCCACCAGACAATCTCCACTACGATCAGCTGGCTCGGGACCTTAATTACATCTGCAACGTCCCTTCCCGCCAGCACCTGGTGTGGCTGAATAACCAGAGAGCGGGTCTCTCCGGGCCCATCGTTAGAATTCTGTCTACCACACCCATCAGACCTATGTATATTTTTTAAATTTGTTATTTCAGAGTTGGATAAAAGGATGAAAATCCATGGCCCTGCTGAGAACGATGATAATAATAATGATGATGATGATGATGCAGCTCGTGGAAGCAGCCAACACTGGAGTAGACAGACTCAGGTTCTGGCTTCAGCCCTGACAGTCACATGGAAGCTGAGGTTAGTTGGGAAAAATATGCAAAAGTTCTGCCTTTTCCCACCTGTGTGACCTTGAGCAAGTCACCTAACCTGGCTGGCCCTGTCCTCTCCTCACCCACCACACTGTGGGCTGACCTGCGAGAGGATCCACAGAGCCCGGAAACGGCCGGCACTCAGCATCTCACCCACGCTGACATGCTGTCGAGCTATCTGCACGACCTTCTCCCGAGGATGTCTTCCTTTTCGAATGCCACTCCATCCTTGTTGGGGGCAGCACGTGCTATTTAGCTTGTTCTTCCCGTACCCCCTGCACCGGCCACCCATGCCCTTTGCCAGAAGTGCGTTCTGCAGGATGATCCAGGAGTCTTCCCATACAGTCAGCTTCTTCTCCATGTGGAGATGATGCGCACTGAGGTGATGAAGTTGCAGACCTCAGGGAACTACCCGAGCAGGCTCCAAAGAGCGGTGGCAAAATGACACCTCTGCACGCCCAGCCCCAGCTCCCTTTGGAGCAGTTCTCAATATGGCCACGAGGTGGCAGCACAGCAGGCCTCTGTTCAGGGCAAGCCCATCGTTTCCTCAGGGATCCAGGGCATGGCCTCCCGGCTGGTGGTTGAGCGTCCCAAGGGTGGCATCACCACTGCCAGGACCAGTGTCTGTCTCTGTCTCGGGACACAGAGGCTATAACTCTCTGTTGACTGTCTTCATGCTGCACCCTGAGCCATTTACAGCAGGATGCCCATCTGATTCCCTCTGAGCCCCAAGAATGGTTAGGAAAGGAATATTTGTACGTCTTAAATCTCACAATAAATGATATGATCCCAGTTTTACAGGTGACCAGATCAAGGGCGACAGTAATTAAGTGACTGGCTCCAGGTCACAGCCAATGAGGAATATGACACTACTTTAAATTTTATTACAGAAATTTTCAAACATATACAGAAGAAAATATCCGTAACTCCCACAGTATTTATCATCCAGTTTCAACCACTATCAACATTTTGCCACTTATTTTTCTCCTATCCTCATTTTTTTTTTTACCAGAGCATTTATAAAGCAAATTCCAGACCCTGTGGCAATTTACTGTAAATACTTCCATTTGCACCTCTAAACAATTAGAACATTTTACCTAACCACCAGGCCATTATCTCTCCCTAATAAAAGTATCAATAACTCCTTATTATCATCTAATACTGCTTATATTCAAATTTCCTCCCCCTTTCACAAATGTCTTTTTGACAGCTGGTCTGTTCTGTCTGATCCAAATAAGGTCCACACACTCCATTTGGTCCTGTCTTTTAAGCAGTTTTATTCTCAAACAGTCGTCCTTTCTTTTTTTCTCGAGGCCCTTCGTTAATGAATAAACTAGGCCATTTGTCTGGTATAACATCCCACATTCTGGATTTGGCTGTTTGCCTCCTCCTGCAGGTGGCACAGGGCCTGGCACAGAGCAGGTGTTCATTCAACATTACAAATCCTGTTAAGGGGAGCAAAGAGAAAGAACAGAGGTGTGGTCCTCACAAGTGTGATAGGTAGGCAGCACTCCACTTGAGGGGCCACAAGCTCCAGCCATGGGATCGTGGGGAGCCCACAGGCTCCAGCCCCGGGATCTTGGGGAGACCACAGGCTCCAGCCCCGGCATCTTGGGGAGACCACAGGCTCCAGCCCCGGGATCTTGGGGAGCCCACAGGCTCCAGCCCCGGGATCTTGGGGAGACCACAGGCTCCAGCCCCGGCATCTTGGGGAGACCACAGGCTCCAGCCCTGGGATCTTGGGGAGCCCACAGGCTCCAGCCCTCCATCTTGGTGGTGAGGACTGCAGGCCAAACAGTTGAAGCAGGAGCCAGACCAGAGCTCCTCGGGGCCCCTCGCTGGAGGGACAGAAGCCACGGGACATAAGAACAAATGGCAGCTCCTCTTCCAGCGCCTCGGCTTCTTCGTGCCACGTGATATACTATCGCTGACCTTCGTCATATAAAGAATACGTTTGTATTTGTGAGCTTTAGCTTGGTCCCTAAAGTCTTCCTAGGTGCTGCTCTCATTTTGTTGTTCTGTGTTTTATTCAGAGCAAACTGAAGGGGATAGAAAAGTGCAAGCAAAACCAACAAGCACCCACATTCCCAGCATCCAACATCAACACTGCTAACGTTTTGTCCCATTTTCTTCCGGGGTGTTTTTTTGTTGGAGCCCCCAACCACCGCCTTGCTCCTCCTCCCCGTCCGTCGCCGCCGCAGGGCAGCCAGCCCAGGGCGGAGCCTCCCAGAGGCCGCTGACCGCCGTCTCCTAAAGGACCTGCACAAGCGCGCCCCCGTGCTCTGCCCTCGGCCCAGGTGCACTGAACCAGCGCAGTCCCAGGAGCCGGGGCCGTGACGGAGGACGGGACAAACGCCTGCCCGGACCCAAGCCGACTCCTGGAGCCAACGGCGGCCCGAAACGTGAAGACACGTTCTACTGGAAACCGGCCGCCAAGTCCTGCAGGCGCCGAACACGCGCACTTCCGGCGTCCCGCCCCGCCCCATGCTCACTCCCCATTGGTCCCTCACTTGACCACGCCCCGCCCACGGGCAGTCTCCTCCCACTGTCCCCTTCCCCTTTCACCTCACCTTCTGGGTCTCCAAAAGGCTTCAGACCCCGCCCACCGAGGGTTGGGGAAAGCGCTCCGCCATGGCCCGCAATTATTGGTGACTATTGTCTGTCCATTAGAAGAGAGGCGGTGGCGGATTGGCTGAGGGAAAGCAGTTGGGCGGGAAGGCAGCCACAGAGTCTGCGCCGTGGCCTGTGCCCCGGTCGGGGGGAGGGGGTTGCAGCGGCATCTGCGCATGCCCGGTGCGTGCGCAGGGCCGGCGGCGGCGGCAGTCATGGCGGTTCGGTGCGTGAGGTTGGCGCGGCGCAGCCTCCCGGCCTTGGCGTTGTCTCTGAGGTGAGGGCGCCCGGCGCCTCGGCTGAGAAGGGGCGCGGTCCTCGGTGCCGCTGCCGGGCCCGCCGCCTCCCGCTCCGACTCGGCGAGGCCGCCCCGGGCCTCCTGGGCTCCCCGGAGCGGGCGTCGTGGGCGGCAGTTCCCGGCGGGGCGTGCACCACCGCCCGGGCTGCCCTGCGGGGCTGCTGTGCGGCGGGGCCGCTCTGCGGCGGGGCCGGGGTCCGAGGGAGCGGGGCCGCGCTGCCCCGGGCGCGGGCGGGAAGCGGGGGCCGGGCGCCGGGCGCGGGCCGTCGGCGCGGACAGCCTGCTGGAGCCGAGTTCCCGGCCGGCCCGCTCCGCTCCCCGTGTCCGTCTGCTGTCTTCTCTCGAGCCCGCGGCTCCCCCTCTTCGGAAGGCCTCCTCCTGCGTCGGTGGGGCGGGACCCAGCCTCTGCTCTGTTGGAGGAGCTGCCCCGAGCCGAGTTAATGCGGAGCAGCCGCTCGGGCCGCCGGCGCGCGGAGCTGGCAGGCCGGTCTCTGCCTGCAGGGGTCGCTGGCCGCGTGGAGGGGCGCCGGGCGGTGACGCGGGGCGAGGTGTGATCGCAGCCTGGGAAGTTACGTGCAGGGAGATCCGGGTACAGAGCAGGGACCGCCCGGAATACCTGAGTGAAGAAACTTTTCGCTCGAGTAGTTTGGGGGTTTGTATCTGGAATTGGTTCCCGGGAAAGTGATCCCCAAGTCAGCATTAATTTCTGCCTCTGAGAACTGGTTTCGCGGAAGGAGGCTCCGGTGGGGGAGGCAGGAGAGCTGAATGGTGGTCCTCGCTCTTGGAAGAGCCCAGCTCTCTGAGACTCAGTTTCCCGCCCCGGCCCTGGTGCGTCCCTCTCCACGCTTGTGCTGCTGCCCAGCGCTCTGCTGGCTGCGCTTGGGAAAGGGGTCTGCGGGCAGGCTGTGTCAGGACGACGGGGAAGGAAGACGGGTCACGACAGCACGCTCCGTGTTTACCTTACTCGCCTTTTTTAAGTCACCGAAGGAAAAATACAGTGGACAGCTATTGCTCCCCACCCCTGCAGCATCACACTGGTGGCTCCGCTGCTCCTCTCCACAGGCCCAAGACTGGTGACAGGGTTTCTGGTTTGGTTTGTCTTGACAAAAATGGGGTCATGTTTCATGTTTCTCTAAACTGCGTTTCCTGCTGCACAGCACACTTGTAGTGTAGCCGGGAGATGACAGTTCACACGTTCTTTTGGTAGCTGCACAATATTTCAGACGACAGAAGCAACAGCTCATTCAGTCATTACGTCCTTGCTGCTGAGCATTCTGTTTCCGGCTGTCACTGGACGGTGCTGCCATGAGCACCCTTGTGCGTGCACTCTGCGTACTAAGAGCTCTTCTGTTCCTCGAGGCACTTTTCTTTAATCTGGGAAGAAAAGTAAGCACAGTTTATTTTCAGATTGGACGATGACATAGTTAAGAAGAGCTCCACTGGCCCTGGTGAAGAAATAAGACTATTCTATCATTCAGTAATGGCTTTGCGACCTTGGGCTTATCGCCTAACCTTTTCCACGTGGGGATCAGATCAGATAATATTGTCAGTCACTTCCAGGGTTAGCTTTGGTCCTCGCTGTGTTTCCCCTGGACATACCCCCGTGGTTTTCTACCTCCACACCTTTGCCAGGCAGTTCCCTCTTCCCGGGTGGGTCTGTCTGGCCCACTCCTGACTCCTTAGGAGTAACTCCTGCCTGTCCTGCAGAGCCCCTCTGCCACAGCCTTCAGGGTCTTCCATTTCCCCAAAGCTGGAAACCTGCGCTGAGCCTCCCAGAGCACGGTTCCTCTCTATTGCTTTTAAACCCAAGAATATAGCTTTCTGTGTGTAGATATCTGTTTTGCATGATGGTAAGTACCCCGTGGGCGAGATCTCTGCTGGGTGGGTCTGTGTAATCAGCATCGGCCCGGGGCCTCGCCTTTAATAGGAGCTACTCCATAAAGATGTGGTGGGGTCTGGATGCCCGTATCTCAGAGGCAGGAGTTCAGAATGGCGAGGAGAGGAGGTTAGTTCTGTAGCCTTGGTACGCTGACGATAGTTTAGGCGTGTATTGCAGAAGATTTTCTATGAATAAACAGCTTCTACACGTTGTATACAATTTGCCCTTACTAGACTAAGATAAATCCTTTCTCCCTCACGAGCCAATAGCAAATAGTTTTAAGTTGTCTCAGATTTCTAATATCATCCATCTGACTTTAACAAGGAAAAACACACATAGTCTTAATTTCTTGCATGTGGGCTTTTCTTCAGGCCATCTCCCCGGCTCTTGTGCACAGCGACTAAACAAAAGAACAATGGCCAGAACTTGGAAGAGGATGTGGGTCACAACGAACAGAAGACAGATCCTCCCTCTACAGAGAAGATGCTCATGGAAGAGAAGGTCAGGTTAGAGGAGCAGCTGAAGGAGACGATGGTAAGGCCGCACAGGCTCGAGCGGGGAAACGTGTGGTGAACTCCAGGTTCTTTGGAGGCTGTCTGTCCAGCCTCCGTGCTTTATTGACAACAGAGACCGAGGCCAGAGGAATTCAGTCGTTTGTCTAAGGATTATGGTTGGGTCATATAGCAAATTACTGCTGAAGAAGGGAGTAGAACCCAAATCGTGTGTGGCTCAGGTTCTGTCATGGGAATCATCTCTACGCACTACACTGTATATTGAATTAAGACTTGCAGTGGTCTTTGTAGATGAGGACCGCTCCGTGTGGCTGTTTAAGCTGGGCCTTAGGGAAGGTCAAGGGTTGGGGCCAGGGGTGTGGTTATGTGATGCTGGCTCGTGCGGAGGTAGGAGTAGTGACGCGGATGGTTACTCTGTGTGAAAAAGCGTAGGTGGCACAAGTCAAATTCTGTGAGGACTTAAGAACGGCACCGTCAAACCCTCACTCTGTGCTGGCACTGTTCTGACCTCTTCATCTGTAGTAATCCTCACGACAGCCCAGTGAGCCAGCTGTTAATCTCCCTGTTGATGAAGCAACTGAGGCCCAGAGAGGTTGAGTAAACTTCTTAAGGTCATCTAGCCGCTGAGCGGCAGAGCTAGGGTTTGAGTCTTGGAGGCCTTGCTCTCAGCACTGCACTGTAATCACCTGGGAGACAGGTGGAGTGTGGAGCCCCCCCCCCCCCCCGGAGTAATTTAGTTAAAAATAGAAATGCTCAGATGAGTGCGATTACAGGAAAAGCAGTGTGAGAAATGAGGAAAGTACCAGAATTCAGATGATTATTACACAATAAGTGTTTGAACTGAGCTACATCTGGGCAACGTGAAAAAGAGCAGAAGTTCGTTGATGGGCTTTTCTCTATCTGGTGGGATAGAGGCCTGGACTGTCGACCCAGGCTCGCTGTTCTCAACTTCTCGGGGTAGGAACCGAGGTGGGTCAGCCCCTCCTAGGGCTCTAGGCTTCCCTCAAGTTGGAAATTCTGCTGAGGAAGTGAATGGTCCTTCCCTGAGGGGTGACGAGACCATCAGAACCACGAGAAAGTAGAAATGTTTTCTTGTCCTTTCCGTGGCTGTGTGCTTGAGTAAGGATGGCCTTGGGGCTGTATAAATATGTGACACCTTGACATCTTATTCCCTACTTGTTGGAAATAGTGACACAGTTGTAACTTATTTCTCCGTATTAAGCTGCACTGTCTGTAGTCCAAAATAACAGATGTTACTTGTATTTTGGCTTGGAGTTTATGTCAGATTTGCTTTCCTATGTTTTGTTTCTTTTTTTTTTAGGAAAAATATAAGCGAGCTTTGGCAGATACTGAGAACTTGCGGCAGAGGAGCCAAAAATTGGTGGAGGAGGCAAAATTATATGGTAACTTTAAATGTTATATGATGTTGATCCTGGAAAAATACCGGGCGGGGAAGGTGGGGGTGGGGTGCAAACGCGATTATCAAACAGCAGGATGGAGCAGGTGGGCAGTGCGAGCCCACTGGCTGCATTCCTCCAGTTTTTAAGATGGGTCAGCGGCACAGTTGTCTGTAAGGAGCCAGAATTGCGTCGTGACTAGCATTGAGGCTGGTTAGCGTAATTCTCTCGGTGAGGAGCGTGTTCACTGCTCTTCACACGGTCTTCCACATGAAGGTGTGAACCTGCAGACACTTCTAGCAGGTCAGCCTCTCTGCTCACTTCCTAAGCCATACCAGCAATAACAGTGACATCACTTAAGATCTCCGAAAACGCTGTCAGCGTTGTCGCCTTTGGATATATTTGTCACTGTGCTTCCCATTTTACAGTCGAGATCATTGAGGCTTAAATGACTTGTCTCTCATCACAAAGCTAGTAGCTAACGGCACCGGCGCCAAGGCCAGTGCTCCTGACTCCATCTCTGCTTGTGTTGTTTACTAAACATAAGGCTACCATTTGAGTACTTAGGGAACTGTCAGGCGGGCATTATTGCCCCGAGTTATAGTGAAGACCCTGAGGCTCACCGGGCGGGGGTAAATACTTTGCACGAGGACGAACTGGGTCTGTGGCCAAGTGGGAACCAAGGTGTACATCTTGTGAAGCCGCCACATTCAACACAGATAACAAACATCTTGAAACACTTTTGGTTCCTGGATGCTATCGCCTCAACTCCGGGTTTTCTGCCTCTTTCTGGTAATGCCCTCGTTGGCTCCTTGTCTGTCTGACCTCCAAATATCTGGGTGCTTGAGGGCTCGGGGCCAGGCCTCCCCTCTCCTCACTGTGCTCCCAGATGATTTGCCCTCTCTGATGGGTCTAAATGGCGTCCATACCCAGGTTCTCTTTTCAGCTCAGACATCTCTTCGGAGTTCTAGTCCCACACGTCCTATTATTTACTTGGCATCTTTACCTGGATGTCTCACAGGTATTTGAAACTTAATTGCTTCCTCTCTACTCATTTTAGTAAGGGATACCTGTTATCCACCCAGGTGCTTAGGTCAGTAATCTGAAGTTATCCTTTTGTCTCGCTCAGCCCCACATCCATACCATCCAGTGAGTGGTGAGTGGCTGATCTCTTCCTTCATCCACTTCCCTCTGCTGCTGCCACGCGGGTCCAAGCCAGCTTCAGCTCTTGCATCCCTGCCCCACACCCCAGGCCAAAGTGATTTTAAAGGACAGTTTGACACATCCCACCTTCACCCATTTCCACTGCCCCATCTAGAACCCTCAGCTACTCTGTGGGTCTGCCTCTTCCCTGTGGCCTGCCTGCCCCTCTGTTGCTTGAATGCTTGGATAGCTCCTAACTCTTCAGGCCTTGGTTCCCAGAACCCTTCCCTGGCTCTCCCGTCTAAGCGAAGGCCCTTATAAACACATGGTGTACAGTCCTCTCCGCGTTCACAAATGCTCCTTCACCTAAGTGTGTGATTTGTAATTGTGTTGTCACTTGTGTGATTAGACATTGATGACTTACACTCCATGAGGAGCAGACAGTTCCCTAGCAACTGGCACCAGTGTTAACCCATAGTAGATGCTCATGTTTTTATTGGATAGGTTGAAATTTTTTAATTTCAGGAGGGTCAAAATATCGTGAAAGGGAGTAAAGTTGTAAACAAGCGTTGCCTCCTGCAAAGTGGAGTCTTTGAAACTTGTGAAGACTCAACGAGGCCCCGCTAGCGCCCTTGAGACAGTACTTGCTGCGCTGCTGGGGCCTGGGGCACAGACGCCAGCTCGAGCGCTTGTCATCCCTCACTTCCGTTCAGCATCTAAAGCGTTTTCCTGAAGCCTCAAACCCTCTAAATTTTGTAATACACTGCCTTGAATTTTGAATGACTTTCTAGTACGTTATTTCTTCTGTTGGACTGAGGATAACGCAGGTTAAAGTTAAGGCTTGGGGTGTGTCTTAGCAACTTACCCCCCAGTGCCTAATAACTGCTGGCATTTATTGAGTACTCACGGTGTGCCGGGCACTCGAAGGTGTATAACCTTTCGATCATAACCACACCGTGTGTCAGGTGCTGTCGTGATCCTCGCTTTATAACTGAAGGAGCTGAGACCCAGCGAGATTGACCAAGATCCCACAGCAGTTAAGTAACAGCCGGGGATGGGCCCCAGGCTCCGTGCTCGGTGGCTCCCGTGCCGCGGCTGCGCCCCCTCCTGCAGCCTGCCGGCTTCCGCCGGGTAGCCGTCACATCCGCGGGGATGACGCGCTCTCCTGAGTTTGCAGTTTCTCAGGGTTGCTGTGTGAGGCGGTTCTGCACATTTTCAGCTGCCTGTTTTCATACCTAATTATTCTTGTCACAAGTTTTTTGTTTGAATCTGTTGAAATTCTAGGGTGAACGAATGATTTGAAAAGTTACCATTAAACAGCCTGTGCACAAAGTACGCAGGGCGTCCGCTTCTGAAGTGCCTCCCGCAGTTGACATGGAATGCGAGTGATGCTCTTCTTTACCTTCATTTAGGCATCCAGGGCTTCTGCAAGGACTTGTTAGAGGTTGCAGACATTTTGGAGAAGGCAACACAGTGTGTTCCCAAAGAAGAGATTAAAGATGACAACCCTCACCTGAAGAACCTCTACGAGGGGCTCGTGATGACCGAGGTCCAGATCCAGAAGGTGTTCACGAAGCACGGCTTGCTCAGGCTGAACCCGCTGGGGGCCAAGTTCGACCCTTACGAACACGAGGCCTTGTTCCACACCCCGGTGGAGGGGAAAGAGCCGGGCACGGTGGCGCTAGTTAACAAAGTGGGGTACAAGCTGCACGGGCGCACCCTGAGACCCGCCCTGGTGGGGGTGGTGAAGGAAGCGTAGCCGCCTCTGCAGGGTTCTAGTGGGTTTTTGGTAATCTCTTGCTATAATGCTTAAAGGCTGGTTCGTCCTTTCTTGTCTGTGAATATGTGACCTCCTCCGAAACCTTTTGGGAAAGCTGTAGTAACCAGTGGGATAAACAGAAAATAAGCCAGTTGCACAGTTGCGTTAATGAACTCTTAATTCGGGAGTCTGTTCGTTGATTTTCAGTACACGTCGAATAGTTCCACACGCTTGCAGGACAGGCCGACGGGACACTGCCGGACCCTCGAGTATCATGAATAATGCTGTACCTGCTCAGACTGCTGACGTCTGAGCGTCTGAAATGAAGGAAAGGTCTTCGGGAAGCCTGCCGTTTGGCTGGCTGGCTGCGCCCAGCTGCAGCCTGTGTCTCTGTCTCCCAGTAGCATGCGGGTTTCCGGGACCCTGGGCCCGTCACAGCTCATCCATCGAAGGAAAGGCGCGCGTGTAAACCTTGCTCAGAAAGATTTGATGGTGCCCCCCTTGGTGGAGAACATATGTGAGTTCATTTACAATTAATTAGTTACTAGCTAGCTGCTAGAAATGATCAACTTCTGGCTTTTCTTTGAGATGTGAAATGAGGACATGAACCTTAACAGTTCTCACCTCCTTATTTTGCCAGTAACTGACTTTGACAAAATCAGTTACTTTTGCCTTGTCATGTTCACATATTTGTAGAAATGTTTAAATCTATACTCAACTAGTTACTGATGACCTGAAGGTATTTTCCCTAGTGAGATGGACTTTCTCAAAATCTGAGGACTGCACGCTTGGTATAATTTAAATGTTAAATGTTTAATTTTTAAATTTTATTTAAGAGGATTAAAGCCCTCATGTTTATTTTCCTACATCCTGGTACCTCCTTTGTGTACTTCGGTGGAGATGCGTACTGAGGAGAGCGTGAAAGCTTTCCTGTTCTCTGCTCAGATCCCGAAGCTGTGTACTTGACACGCACAGGCAGCACGCGTCAGCTTCCGTGCCAGAAGGGACAGCGGCCTCCCTCTAGTGCACTCGCAGGCTGGCCTCTGATGGGGCCTCCGCGGGCAGAAGTGTCTGCCCACAGACCATGGAGGGGACCGCAGCCCCTCAGGAGCTGCAGCAAGCACACAGGCGCCTGCAGAAGCCAGCTCCTGCACGCGCGTGACCTCCCTCCCTCGGGTGCGTCGGGGGAAGGTGAGTGGTGAGGTATCTGTTAGACACGAGGGAAAAGCCGCCTTCCACTGCCTTTGCTTCCGAGCGGGGCCTCTAGGATCGAAGGTCAGTACTCGTGAATCCATTCCTTGGATTCTCCTTGAAGCTGCCTTAGACTATTTGGTGAAAGACATACCCAGAACTAAAGGCAGCATAGTATACTGAGGAAACGGCCGACCGGGACCTACAGTTCTGCTTCTGTACTGTGCAGCTGCGAGGAGAGCATTTCCCGCCCCCCCCCCCCCCCCCCCCCCCCCCCGCCATCGTCTAGGCTGAGGGCTGAGTTCACACTACTTTCTGGCAGTATGCAGTCCCCTCCCACTTCAGCCAGAGCCGAGCCGCAGCTGCTAAAAGGCCCTAAGGCCGAGACAGGGCAGCGGCATGTGGCAGTGACTGCTTTACTGCAGTCTCAGTCACCGCCAGTAGGAAAACATTGTTCACACTTATGCTGGAAATTAGGCCTGTTAACTGCACTCTGGTCAAGTTTTGGGTTTTGCTGACTGCATCCTGGATACGCTGTCCAGCATACACAGTCGATAGACCTGCGCAGCCCAGCGCCAGGACGACACACCGTTCTCTGGGCCTGGCGCTCTTTCCGGGAAGGAGGGCTGGCGTGAAACGTTTTCTGCTTAACAGAAGGCAGTTTTAGCTAATAGTTTAGAGGGGAAACTGGTTTGACACCAAAGTGCTCAGCTAAGACATCGCACGCTGTCCCCATCCTGTTTTTGAAAGCTGGCTCACACCATACGTGGCTCTGAGAAGTCGTCCAAGGCTCGAGGGGCAGGTGGTAAGAAGCAAGCGCGACGCTGTTTTGTTCTCAACTTGTTTAATGTGTAAAAGGGGAGTAACAGCGGTGGTCAGTTTCGGTTTAATACATTCCTGGAATGTGGGCCATCCAGAGAGCATTATTTTGAATAGCTGAATTACCGAACTTGACACAAAGTTACAGTTTTAATTTCGAAAAGACCTAATTCCATGAGATTCTGGTGACTAACTTATCATGAGAATTAAATGCAGAAATGTAAAGGCTCTGAGCTAACAGCAGAGGTAAGAGCTAATGTGACCCTAACAGCTGGAATTGATGGGTACGAGGCAACTGAGCATAAGATTACCTTTCCCTTGTAACAAAGTGTTAATACTTTAACATAAATTAATTATACATTCATTATGGTGTTTTAAACAGTCAAGCCTAAATAAATTCTTCATACCATCAAAAAGATATACATACTAAAAACCTGCTTAAGCACAAAGGTTTTCATTTGACAGCTCTTGGCCTGAGCCACGCACATTTACAGGGACCTTTTGCTTCTTAAGCTTAATGAAAGTCTGGCAATCATTTTATATAAAAATAAGACTAAATTTAAAACCTCACCAAACTAGGAATCTGATGTAGAAAATCGGTGGTGATTTCATTCCGAGGAGCTGACGCCAGTGGCTCTCCGACTGCAGCTCGCGTCCAGTCTCGGAAGGCCTGTGGAAACAGCTCCCCCAGCCCCGCCCCCGAGCTTCTGGAGGACTGGGGGAGGCCCAAGGGCGCTGCCAGCCGGTGCGCGGGGCATGCTGGCGCTGCTGGTCCAGGAGCCCCAGGTGAGCAGCACTGGCTAAGATACCTGTAAAAACTTAGCACCATCTCCCTCACTGCTCAGTGGTAGACAGCAGCGGCGCTCTGTCAGCCGTAGTTGTCCTGCAGGGGACAATGTGGAGGCGGCCCTCAGGAGTAGTACCACTGCTCACAATTGTCTATTGTCAGAGAGAAGTCCCAGGCTGAGTTAACGGGGAGCGCTTCTCTGCCAGCATGCAATGTATTTTACAACTAAAGCCATATACAACGTATTTGAAATGTTTAATGCTGAAAAGTCTACCCAAGGGGACAGAAGGATGTAAAAAGAAAAGGCACCGTAAGTAAGTCATCCTTGGAAACAATGAGGTTTTTTTCCTTTCAAATAACTTCGCTTTAATGTAACTTCAAGCCCCAACACTGGGAGGTAAACAGCCTCTTGGTGGCTGTGGGGACAGGAGCAGCAGGACTAGCTCCTGGGGGCATGGAGCGCTGGGTCTGCGGTCACTCCGCCGACTCTAAGCAGGGTCTCGGACAGGAGAACCCTGGGCAGCCGGAAGACAAAGGACTTCCTCAAGTTCCAGAAGGAAGGTACCGTGTACGTCCGTGAAACAGGGCCCCTGGAAAAACTTCTGGGTAGGGCTGGGCAGAAGCCACGGCCGAGACGTCCAAGACGTGAGCCAGAGAGCAGCGCACGGCCTCGAGGCCCCTCCCTTCTGCTCTGCGGGAGCCTGCTCAGGAGCCACCTGCTCTCCCTGGCTGGTCTGCAGAGCGCGACACCACCTGAAGACAGACGCTTAGCCAGGCTAGCATGGTCAGAGTTCAGTGAAAAAGGTACTTGCAACTGTGATGAAAATGCCGGAGGCAGCTAATGCCAGATCTCACAGCTCTCAGCCTTGAACTTTCTAAAACGTTCTTCCCAAAAAAATGTACTGCAAGTAATCAGCAGTGAGAAGCAGCCCCCCTAGGAGAGCTGGCTCAGGGTTCTGGCAGTCTATGCTAGTCTTCCTGTGTCCCCCCAGAGCACCCCTTGGGACGCCAGGGAGCCTGCCGGGCACTGCTCTTTCCCAAAGCGAGCCAGCGGGCTCTGCCCACAGGAAATGAGGCGAGGGCGCAGACTCCCCTCCTGCCGACAGCGAGGGGAGGCTCATCCGGTCACTGCTCAGCACCGGCTTCTTCCTCTAAATTTCCTAAGGAAGACACCCTGTCCCTGGGCCTCACTTCCCACCTGCCCTGCCCGGCCCCCATCTAAAGTGCCACGTGTTTTGGCTGTGTCCCCAGGGGACCCCCGGCAACCAGCTAGAGCTTGTGTCACAGGGGAAAGCTGGCAGCTGGCAGGCCCAGCAGGGAAAGTTGTTCCTTTTACCCACAGCACAATTGTTGTGTACCAAAGGGAAGAAACTCAGAGAAGGAAATAGCCAATCTCATAATATTCTCCCAACTGAACACATAAGGGCAAATCGTCATCTTAAAGAATTACCTTTAGAACTAAGTTAAAATACACACATATTTGTTTCCCCCACGATCCAATATAAGATTGTTACTATTGCTTCTTTCAGAGGACCATGAAGAGAATTTATATCCTAAAAAGGGAACCCAAATTTGTTTTAAAAAGAGCAATAATAGGGAAAAAAAGCATTTCCTGTCCCCCCGCCCCCCAAGTCCTTTTGGCTCACAAGCTGTTTTAGCATCATTCCAGCTTCAGGGAGACTCGGCTTCAGGAAGCATCCCTGGATATCCAGCCGCTTTCCGTGAGGAAGGTCAGAATCCTTTTCTTGAGGACTTTGTCCAGATAACTCGGAAGGCGACTTTTGGAGGGAATCCCTTGTCGCTTCTGGAGGTGGTCTTTAATGATAATGGTCTTCACAGTCACATAGCGAGCGGGACTCAAATTTAAAGAGCTGCAGAGTACCTTCTCGCGGTCCGACAAGAGCTCAAAGCCAGGAAGGTTCTCGATGGCGGCAAACTCGCTCTCTTTGCCGTCCTCCTTCCCCCTCTTGGAGCCCGCGGTGGTTTTGTTCTCCTTCCGCTTCTCGCGCTTATGCCTGGCCGCCTCGTACTCTGCCGACTCTTCCATCTTCGTGATTCCGTTGCGCCGGTACCTCTGCAATTCTCTGATTTTTGCCCGCAGCATCTTCTCTTTGTGCATGTTTTCAAACAAGTCATCAAACTCCTTACAGGACATGAACTGGTAGAGCGGCCTCAGCTTCAGCCGCAGCTCCTTCTCCTCCTTGGTGATCTTGCGCTTGGCCGTCTTCTCCTTCTCCTTCTTGTCCTTCCCCAGAAAGGCCGGCACCAGGTTGTAGTCACGGGCGATGTTCTTCCGCCTCTGCCTCTCCTTGAGCTTCCGCACGTACATGTCCACGTGGGCACGCTTCAGCTCGATCTCCACGTCGTCATCGTCGTAGTTCACCGAGAGCCCGCTGATGAGCGTCTCGGCGTCCTGGTCATACTCGATCTCATAGTCGTCCCGCAGCGGCATGTAGCCCAGCTGCTGCTGCTCGGCCACCGAGATGTCTAGGGGAGGCAAGGGGGTAGTGAGGCTGGGAGAGAGGGGGCCTCCACTGGGGCAGGTGTGGTCTGTCACCCGATTGGGGATGGTGTCAGGGATGCAGGCTTTCCCCAGGTTTCCGTGGATGTACATGCTTACGTAATGCTCCATCACTTCCTGGGGAGTCCGGGAAGCCCCAACGTGAGCAGCCATATCTTCCTACAACGACAACGGTCAGAAGTTATTTCCAAAGTCAGAGTGTCACACTCAGGGTCAGGCAAATTCCCTTACTATTTCTGCAAAGGTTTACGCGGACTACCTCCTATAGACATCATTACCCCCCTCCTAAGACACTCGATGGCATGTTCTCTTGGGCTGGGTTTATCACCTGGATGTCAATGCTAGAAGGAACCTTCGGTGATTCTGTACATGAGAAAGCGAAGATCCAGAGAGGTGCAAACTCGCTGGGGTCATGGCATGAGCTGGCGGCGCAGCTGAGACCAGAACCGATGTCTGAGGTCTGGACTTTGTTCTCCTCGTTCCTTAAATAGGACGAGCAGAGTCCGCCTGGTATTGGCCATTTTGTACCACCACAAACCTGGGACTGGGGGCGGCTGTCTGTCTGAGTGTAACGGGACACAGGTGGGCAGGGCCACAGAGCGCAGTCCAACCTCTCCATTCACAGACAGGAGAGTCATCGGAGTTCACAGCCCAGGTCTCCTAACTACAGGAGAGACCCCTGTCTACCGTGCTGCCTGCCTCCCCACACAGAAAGGGCCTCGGCCTGTCCCTTTCCTAGGTGGCCAGGCAGATGACTAGGAAAGCGCCTTTTAAGGGGTGGGGGGACTTCATTTATGACGGCCTCCACAGTTAGGGAGCTAGCTGAAAATCTGCCACGGGCTACAAGCGCTCACTCCTACAAGGTAACGTGAACACGAGGGTTATTAACGGGAGGAAATTGTACAACTCCCTCAATCCTTTCCTTCTGCCGAGAGGCCTCTTCCTTCAAGTCAACCGCTAAAGCCACTTCAGAAAGTAATGCCTGAAATGCGCACTCATTCACCAGCAGCCACTCAGCACCCCACCCCCAGCTTCCACTCGCCCCTTCACTCTGCTCTCGGCCTCTGGCAGCTGCCAGGGCGCAGCACAAGCTGCCTTCTGCCCCAGCAACGCTCACCCCTGCCCGATCGGGATGGCCTCTGCACCCCCGAAGGCCAAACTGGAACCTATGAAAGGAGCCAATCCATTCTAATAACCAACTGGGCACTGGGGGAGGGAAGCAGTGACCAGCCCTGCACACCGGGCTTCATCTCGGGCGCACGGAGCAGATGTGTGCTTCCCAGAGGTGCCGGAGTGCTGAGGACGGGGTTAACAGCACGAGACCCAAGAAGGCAATGCTGGGACCAAAAAGCGAGGCCTCTTTCTGAGAACCGCAAAGAGAAAAGGGAAGATTAGAACTAAAACTAGATTCTCATCTTATGGGGATGAGTTATTTACATGATTTCTTCTTTAAAAAATTACTATGAGCATCAAATCTTTTCATTTTATTTCCCCAGGAAGCATTTTGTCCAAAAAAATCCAGAACAAAACCAAGTCACAACTGTCCTCAGCATCAGCTGCCACTCCAGGTGGCCCAGGCTCGCCACTTCCCGTCTCTGAGCCTCGAGTCCCTTCCAGGGAAGGAGCAGGAGTCTGCCCCCTGCCCCGACATCTGCCCAGAGCACAATCAAAATGCATGTGGGAAGGCTTTTCACACTGGGGTGGGCTCTAAGTGAGGGGCCCAACAGCAGCCCCCACGGACAGCCAGTGAGGCGCTGGGGAGCAGTAATGCTCTTCCACACACCCCACCTTGCGGCCAGGAAGCCCCCGATGAGCTATGCTGGAAAAATACCGTCTCCGACATGGCCCTTTCGGGAGGAAAGGACGTGCTCACCAGGTGTCTGGAGAGCGGAAATGGCCCACCCGCGCCTAGTCTGAGCTTCCAGCGCAGGGCGGGCAGCCAGAGGCACTGCGAGCCTTGCACAATGGCATCTGCACCCGCCACCAATGCCCTGTCCAAGGCCACAGCCGATACAGATTCAGTCAAGTCTCGGGCAGCCTCCCAGGCGGGGGAGCGGGCGGCCGCTTCTCCAGAGGCTCGAAGGGGCTAGGTTGCAAACCCACGGTTGCATGGTTAGGAATTTGGGCCCCAGGCCTTGGCCCCATCCCTGGCCCAGTTAGAAGACCTGCAGTGAGAGCCTCCCCGGCGAGTGCACAGGGAGCGCCAGCTGCCCTCCCAACAAAGGTCTGCTGTTCACCAGAACCTCAGCAACCTGCCCTCTGTAAAGCTTCAGCTGCTCAGTGCACCACATTTTAGATAAAATTTAAATCCTGGAAGGATTCTGAGTAATAGAGTTGCATCTGATCAAACTGATATTGATCTGTTTGTTGGTGTTTTTATTCATTTCCGTCAGCTTCAGCACTCTGGAACAGAGAGCAGAGGACGGAGGCAGCAAGGCAGGCTTGGAGCAGTGGGCCAGCGCACGGAGCCTCCACCCTCCCCGCTCAGTGTTCCGTGGCCACATGCTCGTTCACTCTCAGGGCCAGGCAGGCAGGTCAGCCAGTGTGGGCACTGCGCTGCCACCTCGGTCGTCCGGGTCCTCTTTAGGTAACAAAGAGGGGCTCTGGCTCTCAGCTGGACCCAGGTTGTGGGTATTTATCAAGCCACAAATCAGAGGAGCCTTGTCACCCCCCCATCATCAATCAACCCGAGCCACTGCCTAAGGACAGCTCAAAGGCCATCGCTAGAAGAGCCAGTGACTGTCAGCTCCTGCTGAAAGAGAATCGTTCCTCAGGGCCACCATATTAGTTGAATGATCAGTGAGAAAAGCCCAGGAAAACACATGAGACCCTAATTCTCAAGGACTTTGAAACTGAGAGAAAGGGTCATACCAAGCAGTCTAAACGAGAGCAGTGACATAGCTCTCTGATTCTAACAAGAGTCCACAGAGGGCAGACAGGTTCAGCGAAGCTAAATTATATAGAAAGGAACATGTTCAAAAAGTTGATTAAAAACAGCAACAGCTCCTGAACTCCTGCCACATGCCAGCATTCTGCCCGTCACATTCTAAATGTTTTCTCCAATCTTCACAGGTCAGTGGTCACGCGAGACTTGCCTACCTTCTGCCAGTGAAAGAACTGTCCTGTCACTGCATTACAGCATCACATATGACAGCAGCAGAGTGACTGGCAGGGCAGTTCGTTCTCTCCTATGTTCAAGGTCAAAGTTTTGCTTAATCCAGATGGATGGACAGGTGGATGGACAAATGGATGGATGGACTGAAGGATGGATGGATGGATGAAGAGATGGATGAACAGAAGGATGGATGGATAGACGGACAGAAGGCTGGCTGGCTGGATGGATGGATGGGTGGGTGGGTGGATGGATGGATAGGTGGGGTGGCTGGGTGGGCAGGCAGAAGCAACACAAAGGGGTTTAGGGCACAAGATTTGGAGAGAAAGTTCAACTCAAGCACAACTAAAATCAAACAAGGAACACAGCTGTATACTGAAACTGGTTTTTCCCCACCACAGCACACGTAACACATGGTCAGTAGCCCAAAGTCTGTGGAAACAGAATTCCAGGTTTTTCTTCCTTTATGCTTACATTTTAAAAAAAAACAAAACAAAACTCCCATCTTTGGGAAAAGATAAGGAGAGATAGGTATGCTGCCTCCTTAAAGTCCTTTGAAAAACAAAGGAGAGACCAGCCCTGTGGCCGAGTGGTTAAGTTTGTGCGCTCCGTTTTGGCGGCCCAGGGTCTCGCCAGTTCAGATCCTGGGCGCAGACCTAGCACCGCTCATCAAGCCAGGCTGAGGCGGCATCCCACAGAGCAGAGCCAACTAGGATATACAACTATGTACTGGGGGGCTTTGAGCAGAAGGAAAAAAAAAGATTGGCAACAGATTTCGCTCAGGGCCAATCTGAAAAAACAAAAATAAAAAAGAATAAAGGAGAACGTGCCTTTAAGACACGGAACTGGGCCCGACAGGTCTACTTTCCCAGATCCCAGACTCAGGTCAGGATGCTGCCTCTCCAGCAGCCAGTAAGCAAGCCAGTGAGTGATGCCTCCACTGGGTTCTAGGGCTGGTCTAGCCTCTTTCTGGCCTGTTCATGGCTCACTCTTGATGGCCTCCAGGACCTGAGCAAGGAAAGGAAGAGAGGAGTCCTGAGAAACTGTTGGCAGTGCGGGTCAGCCAGCTCCCGCCTATGGAGCTCACACAGGGTTTCTCTCCCCATGCTCGGGCTCGCACACTCCTGCTGGCTGCTCTGCCACTCACCTCCAGACAAACGCAACCCCAGTGGGGTCACTCCCGCAGAGGACAACCCTTTAGAGGCTCCCATCGGCGAATCCACCGCCTCTCAGACACGGCTGGCTCATGATCAAGGGTGAGATCGAAAAACATGAGACGTAGGGGTTTTCCTGAAAGCTAAATTTTCCATTTAAAGGAGGGGCCGTCATCCCAAGATAATGTCCTTCCTATCTGGGGAGCAATGAGATAACCTTTCTTTTCGTGAAATGGTGACAGATTATTAACTGGATCTTTAGACACATGAATACCCTTACTTGGCAAACTCGGAGTCAGCACCTCTATGTCAGCTTTCGAAACACTTCCTTTCACTAGGACTGGTCTGCGGACTCTGAAGGTCTGGGCAGCACAACGTCAGGGTCAGCCAAACTCCTCAGTGTGCTTTGCAAGGCCCTTTCAGATCTGTCCTCGGCCCCAGCCAGACACCACCCACCTGCTGGAAACGCCCCTTTCTCTACCTGCTCGGACTCTGGGGCCAGGCTTCGGGGCTCCACTCTGGCTCCACCCCTTATTAGCTGTGGAACTTGGACAAATTCCTTCAGCTCTCTGTGCCTCGGTCTCCTCATCTGGATTATGGAGGGAGTAACGCTGCCGACCTCGCAGGACGGTGACGAGGATGAAACGAGGTGACATGTAGCGTGCTCAGGCCGGTGTCAGGCACAGTTTGCACTCCACCAACGGTGGCAATTAGGACTACTAAGAAGCTGTGAGCTTCACTTCCACAACTTGTTTTTATCCCTCAAGACCCAGGCCATCTCCTCCAGGAAGCCTTCAGTGAGCCCCGGGCTGGGTTCAGATGCTGGCTCACTTACTAGCTTTCAACTTCTGCTTCTTAATCTGTAATCACTCCTCTTAAAGGGGTAAAATCCC